ATTCTTTTTTTTCACTCATTAACATATGGTTAATATCAATAAAGAGAATTTCTACATAGTTTCTAATTGCAGCATAGAATTCCATCATATCCTGATTTATTTAAATCATACCCTTTTCTTATGTTTCATACTAACTTATGCTAGTAKATCTCAACATTTAGCTGATAAAGCCTTACCCCACCTATAAGTTTTACTTAACATATTCCAAAGACTTATGACCTCTGGGGTATTAAAATGTGATTTTTAGATTACATAATGAAATTTGTGATTGTTTAAAAAATCTGCATAACTCCAAATGACCATAAGTGTGAAAGTGTCATGAGACCAAAAAGTTTGAACCCCACTGATAGTATGATGTGAATGAGGATGGTAATTATTGGGTGCTCTGGGAACATGTGGAAGGAGTACATGTTCTAATCTTTCAGAGCTTTGCCTCTTTGTATAATATATTAATATGATATTGTTCAATATGTGGTATTCCATGTATCTAGTTTGTGTCTTGAGACTCTTATTGATGTCCATTCTTTTTACTTATTAAATTATTTTCTTTATTGAGTTATGTTTGGAAAATGCATATTGTACATTTAATATGATACTTATACRCAGTAATGACTACCACAATTAAATCAATTTGTGTTTATTTTTAAAAAATTCCTCAAGAGGGATTGATTCTTTGTCAAAGGTATGTCACAGAGCCACATGTGAATTTAAATACCCTTTCTAATCAGTGTTGAAATTAAGTTGTCCTACCTGTATTAGTTTCCTTGGGCTGCTATAATAAAATAACACAAAATGGCTTAAAACAAGAGAAATATATTCTTTCATTGTTCTGGAGGCTAGAAGTCAGTCTAAAATGAAGGTATGGGCAGGACCATGCTCCCTTTAAAACCTATGGGGGAGGATCCCTCCCTCCTTAATTGTAGGTACAGGGAAGAGTCTCTCTTTTTCTTCTCTGATGAGGAGTCCTGTAAGATTATAATTCCAAACTGATGTGGCTAAGTTTCCTACTACATAGAGAATGTAAATTTCTATAGAGGAAAATGAAATTAGCAGGCAGAAAGAAGCAGAGATAAAGACAGGAGAGAGAAGGAGAGGACTCTGGAGAAAGGGCCCAGGAATCCCTTTATCTGGAAGTACCCTACCTTTTCTTAAGTTTGTTTATATATGCCAATAATTTATTCTTTTTAAATTGAATTAGTCCAAAGTGGGTATCTGTCATTGCAACCAAACAATAGAGCAAACTAGTGATTCTTGTTTCTCCAATGCCCAGATTTTGCAAGAACACATCAGAGTTTAGTATCTTTTTATTATAAGAAAATAATTAATGATCACATGTGAGTTTTCAAGTTGTGTGTGTGTGTATKCTTTAATGTCTATAGATTTTCCCAGGATTAACTAAGAATTTTAAATCCTTTCTTTTGTCTGCTGTATATTATTGTATTAGGATACTAAGGTTGTCATAACCTCAGGGGTACTATTTTTCTGATCCCTTCCATTTGCATATCTTAATCTAATACTTCACACTATATTTACACTAAAACCTGCTAATTTTAGATAAAATACGTCTCATAAAATATGAGTTTTTTTCTTTTAGGAAAAACATTCTAAAAATAGACCAGCTAAAAAGAAAATTCCAAGAGATTATGCAGAATGGGATAAGTATGTTCTATATTTTATCTTTGAATAATTCTTTTCCAATCAATATTGTAACTTTTAAGATAATTATTATATACCTAAATATCTCAAGGGTACCAAATTATTTTAATAGACTACTAAGAATATCTAGTCTAAGCACTTCTGATCTTATTTTTCATAGGAAAAAAAAAAGACTACATCCTTTTGTTTATAAAATCAACCAAAAATAAATAATGCTGTCTTTATACTAATCAAAAAAAAAAAAGTACAAACGTTTTAAATGGAGAGAAATTACTCACAATTTTAATTACAAGGTTCCAAGCATATTTCATCTGATTAATATTTAAGTCCTTACTTAATAACATTTTTCTTAAGAAGGAATGTAAATGACTTAAAAAACAAACCTATTATGCATTTTTTAATATGCATCAAAAAGACACAGTACAAGTTGAGCATCCCTAATGTGAAAAGCTCCMAAATCTGAACTTTTTAGCACTGACATGATGACTCACATAGGAAATTCTACATTGTAATACTGAGTGTMATGCACAAAATTATTAAAAATATTGTATTAAGCRGGGTGCAGGAGGATCTCGAGTTCAAAGGCAGCTTCAGCAATTTAGCAAGGCCCTAAACAACTCAGTCAGACCCTCTCTCTAAATAAAATACAAAATAGGGATGTGGTTCAAAATAGGGATGTGCCTCTAGGTTCAGTTCCTGGTACCAAAAAAAAAAAAAAAATTATGTTCAGGCTATGTGTATGAGGTRTATATATAAAACATAAATAAATTTTGTGTTTTTTCTTGGGGTCTATCCCAAAATAATTCCATTATGTATATGCAAATACTTCAAAATCTGAAAAAAAAATTTGAGATATGAAACACTTCTGATCCAAAGAGATATTTAGCCTGTAATACAAATAAAGAATATCAATAACAATTTTATTTTCTTACTTGTATTGTTATTTTCTCAGTTTTGTTTTTTTTCCCATTTAAGATTTGATGTGGAAAAAGAATGCTCAAAAATCGATGAAGATTACAAAGAAAAGACTGTAATTGACAACAAGTCACATTTGTCTAAAATTGAAAGAAAAGTAGACACAGCAGGTAATGGGGAAACATAAGAATAATTTAGTAGTCTTTAAATTTTTAAATTATAATAAAAACTGTTCCCCTGGAAGATATTGTCTTTGAGTGCTACACAGATTTTCATTAAAAATTTGTGGATTTTCTTTATCAAGTTTATTTCTATCTTTTATATGAATAATAGTTATAATAAATAAATGTTGTAAGACTTCAAAATATAAATGTATTTTTGTTACTGCAATTTTTTTTTTTAGTTACAGATGGTCCCAATACCTTTATTTATTTATTTTTATGTGGTGCTGAGGATCAAACACACCAGGCAAGCGCTCTATCACTGAGCCCCAACCCCAGCCCTCTGCAATTATATTTATTCCTTTTTTTATCCTCTTTTTCCCAGAAATTTCTCACATTTTTCTTATTTGCCCCAAACAAAAATATAAGAGTTTTCATTTAAACTCCATAGATGATTTTTAATGTAACCAATTATAAAAATAGGGGCTGGGGATATAGCCCAGTTGGTAGAGTGCTTGCTTGCATGCACAAGGCCCTGGGTTCAATCCCCAGCACCATAAAAACAAAAACAAAAACAAAAAAACAAAAAAAAACACCTTAAATCCTCAAAAATGCTGAATTTCTAATTAAAAAAGGGAAAATATCCTGCTTAGGAAACCTTTTATTTTATTTATTGTTTCTACTTCAGTTAGAATAAGCACTCTTGGTGGCCAGGGGTAGTTCTGTGGTAGAGCACTTACCTGGTATGTGTGAGTCTCTGGATTTGATCCCCAGCACTGCATAAAAGTATTCATGGATTTAAACTTTAAAACATTATACTTTCACATATAGCACTTAATATTTATTTCTAGGTCTAACTGAGAAGGACAGGGGTTTACTTGCTATTCGTGAAAAAGAAAAAGGAAATGAAGCTTTCAACTCGGGCGATTATGAGGAGGCTGTGATGTATTATACTAGGTTGGTTGTGGTTTAAACTTACCATTTTAAAAAATGCTAATGTTTTAATTATTAAAACTACATAAATAAGCTAATTCTATTTCAGAATTGCTCAAGGTATTGTACTTGTGCCTTATCGTAAATTTACTTTTGTTTGTCTTGTTTTTTCAATATTTCCTCAAACTTTTCTCTCACTCCATTCCCACCTTTGACAGATCATCTGGCTTTCCTATTTTATAGAGAGAGAGTAGAAACTACCTGAAAGGAACTTTGCAGAAGGTCTACTCAGCATAAAGGTTAAGAACTTGTGTTCTGTAGTCAGACTGCCTGGACCTAATCCTGGAATTTATGACCACAGGGGCTTTGCACATTCTGAGTCTTCTGTTTAGAATGGCCTTTCCTCCTCTCCTTATCTATTACCTTCCAACTTATCCTTTAAGACTTAGCCTTTGCCTTAYTTCTTTGAAAAATCTTCTCTGAACTCCCAAACTCTACCTACTCTATGCCATCCCCCAGTTTATAGGCCTTTATAACAATCTTACCTCTCATTTGTAGTACTTGTTAAAGGAACAGTGTATGATTTTTTTTAAACTTTTTTTTTTAGTTGTAGATGGAAACAATACCTTTGTTTTATTCATTTATTTATTTTTATGTGGTGCTGATGATCGAACCCAGTGCCTCACACATGCCAGGCAGGTGCTCTACCACTGAGCTACAACCCCAGCCCCAGTGTGTGATTTGATACTAACTGAACTGTCAGCTTGTACGAGCAGAGCCTCTTGTCCAATTTTTTTTAAACACCTTTGTATCCTTATTTCCCAGCAAAGTTTCTGGTTCATAGCAGAGTTCAATAAATATGCATATGAGCTTTTGAATTTCTTATATTCCGTTAAAAGTTGATGAAGATTCTAAATTGTTACAAACAGTACTCAGAATCATTAAAGCTACCTTCAAATTAATCTCTGTCCAATCTTCCTTCCAATTGTAATGAGAAATTTTTTTCAATGTTGTGTCTCTAAAGAAGTTTGTCTTTGTTGAAATGGGTACAAGACAAAAAGGATATTTGATGGGTGGTTCATTCAGTGCAGCCTCCCTTGTTCAGTTCTGACACTGTTTTCCTTTTTCTTGTTTATTTCCATCAGTGGAGATTCTCTTGTCCATATGGGGAACAACATTTTCCTTACCTTCCTTTAAGGGGTCATATAGTGAAAAAATTAAAGTGGTRTGGTATGATGGTTAGGGAAATCAGGCTGCCACCTCTGACTTYATCGCCTGTCTTGCCTTGGTTTCCCCAGTGTGAGACAGTTACAATAGTGCCAGCTTCAGAGCAGCTTGAAGATGACATAAGACAAGTGTCATGAAGGCAGGATAACCCCGCAGTAGCAAGAGCAGACAGGTGCGAGTCTTGCCTCTACCATTTACTAGCTGTGGACGTGGAACTCCACTGAGCCACTCTGTTTTGTCTGCTTTCTCATCTGCAATTTGGAAGGAGTAGCAATACCTCCTTTATGGATTGTAACRAGGGTTCAATGACCTGTGTGTGTAGTGTGCTCAATGCCTGGCCAGTCGGGAATGCTCGGTATCAGGCCTTCCTGTTGTTTACCCTTACGTGTATTTTCCTTGTCTGCTGTCTGTCCTACCATGTAATGCCTCTAATTTCATCCTTAATGATCTTATTAAATTGACCCTGTTTATGRCGTTTCCATTTTTACATTCTATTTCTCTTCTGGATTTAGTAAATTCAATGTACTGATACCCCTATGTTTCCCATATCTGGGTATTCATTATTTCACAGCCTTCTATACCCACTTTTGAAGCAACAGCAGATAGATTTTTAAGTTTTTCCTTTTCATTTCTACTTCATTTTGCACTGATTTCCTTAATCTAGCAAAGTTTGTTTTCTTATGTTTGTATTCTTCAACCCCATGACTACTCTCCTATTCCTTCAATTAAATTTCCTCAATTAAATTACTTTATGATCATCCTTAGAATTAAATCTATTTTAGTTACAAACTGATTTGTTTCTGTTAACACGATAATAGTTGAATAAAGACTATCAATTGTGATTGATTACTTCATTTTGTTTTGTTCTATGAAATTGTTTCCAAGAATTCAAAAAGTGCATTTGATATTTAATGTTAACTGACCTACTTTTGAAGGTGACCTATGGGTATTTAAATTCCTATGTCACCTCTAAAGTCTGAGTTTACTTTAAGCTTTAATTAGATTTTTAAGCATTTGTCTAAATGTGGATTTTATATATTAAATTGTATTTTATTATATTTGATGATTTAGGCTGGGTCAGTTTGCTAAGGTTGCCATCCCAAAGTACCACACAGAGAGTAGCTTAAACATGAGTAATTTGTTCTCTCACAGTTTTTTAATATTAATTTTTTAAATGTATATATGACAGTGGAATATATTATAATTCGTATTACACATATAGAGCACAAATTTTTCCTATCTCTGGTTATATACAAAGTATATTCACACCAATTTGTGTCTTCATACATGTACTTTGGATAATGATGTCCATCACATTCCACCATCATTTCTAACCCCAAGCCCCCTCCCTTCCTCTCCCACTCCTCTGCTCTATCTAGAGTTCATCTATTCCTCCCAAGCTTCCCCTCCCTATCCCACTATGAATCAGCCTCCTTATATCAGAGAAAACATTTGGCATTTGGTTTTGGGGATTGGATAACTTCACTTAGCATTATCTTCTCTAACTCCATCCCTTTACCTGCAAATGCCATGATTTTATTCTCTTTTATTGCTGAGTAATATTCCATTGTGTATATATGCCACATTTTTTTTATCCATTCATCTATTGAAAGGCATCTAGGTTGGCTCCACAGTTTAGCTATAAACATTGAAGAAGTCTGAGATCAAGGTGTTGGTGGGATTGATTTCTTCTGCAGCCTCTTTCCTTGGCTTGCAGGTGGCTGCCTTCTCCTGTATGTTCAGGGGTGTATGTGTGTTCTGATTTCTTCCATAAGGGCACCAATTTATTGGAATAGGGCCTACATCACTTATCTCATTCTCACTTAATTACCTTCTTGAAGTCCCTATCTCGAAGAATATTCATATTCTGAGGTACTATGGGGGTTAGGACTTCAATGTAGACATTTTTGAGAAATAGTTCAGCCCACGCATGGGTTATAATTGTTTAATCTACAACTTTAGCTGAAGTGTTTTTTTTTTTTTTTTTATGTTCTTAGGTTTACTTTAGGCCTACTTGTTACCAACAATTGTTTCTCTTATAGGAGTATCTCAGCGCTTCCCACTATAGCTGCCTATAACAATCGAGCTCAAGCAGAAATCAAATTGCAGAACTGGACTAGTGCTTTTCAGGATTGTGAAAAGGTCTTGCAGTTAGAACCTGGAAACATAAAGGGTAAATATTCTCTGAATGCTTTTAAATTTATAGCTGGGTCTGTTAAAGACCATTTGTAGATACTTAATATATACATTAAAAATATTTCAGATAAACTCAGATTTCCATATGTGAGTCATCACCTCTGTAGAGTTACTTTTAATTTTTACTTGAATTTAAGTCCCTGATTATTTGTTTTGAAGTATTTAATAATCCCAAAAGATTGAATAAGATTTTCCCATTAGGGGAATCTGAGTGAAGATACACAGGGACTCTCTGTACTACCTTTGCAACTTTTCTGTAACTTTCAAATTTTTTCAAAATGAAAAAGTTACCAAAAAAAGATAATTGTTACAACCTGGATTTTTTTTTCTTTTTTTTTTTTTTAATTTTTATTGTTGGTTGTTCAAAACATTACATAGTTCTTGATATATCATATTTCACATTTTGATTCAAGTGGGTTATGAACTCCCATTTTTGTTTTTAAATTTTTTAATATTTATTTTTTAGTTTTCGGCGGACACAACACCTTTGTTTGTATTTGGTGCTGAGGATCGAACCCGGGCCGCACACAGGCCAGGCGAGCGCATTACCGCACTACTGCTTGAGCCACATCCCCAGCCCCAACTTGGATATTTGAATCTGAATAGCAGTGGCAGTAGCTAAAGCATGCTTAAAGCACAATGCTACAATTTTGATTAAATTTATGGCACAATAATTTATCTCTTTAGGTTTTCATGGCTAATTCTAAGACTAAAATCTAACTTCTTAGATTTATATTTTTTAAAAGAGGCATATTAAAATATGTCAGATATAAATTTCTCACTTTTTAGATTACTAAGCCTGATATTTTTCAAAATATTGAATTATTACACTAAGTTCTCTCAGTAGTTAGTGGATAATTATGAGACTAGAAATGCATTCGTTGTTGCAGTAAATAATTATAAAATTATCCATTGAAGCTTACCAAAAAAATCTAATGCAGACTACAAAAGGGCTCAATTTTTTCTTTTTTTAAAATTTATTTTTAGTTTTTTTTAAAGGTGGACGCAATATCTTTATTTTTATTTTTTTAACGTGATGCTGAGAATCGAACCCAGTGCCTCATGCATACTAGGYGAGCATGCTACACTTGAGCCACATCCCCAGCCCCCAAAGGACTCAATTTCTGAAGCTAGCTGAYTTAAATCATCAGATACTCTCAGTTCCCTGTGCTAAGTAACTCTAATCATTTTAGAGATGTCTAAAATAGATTTTACTAGTGTGCCATATTCTGAGCATTTAATAGTATACTAAATTTCAATCAGGGAATTTAAAAATTTTTAGAAAATGATAAGAAAATATTAATGGTGTTTATAAGAAGGAAARCATTGTTTAGTGAAAACCTTCCCAGTACTGCAGCATAGGGTGTTGCTTTTGAAGGTATGCTAAGGTATGGAGTCTTTCAGCCTGTGGAAGAGCCGGCCAGGACCTTTTTTTTTTTTTAAATGCGTTCAACATGAAAATGGGTGTATGTAAGCTCTGCATAATTATGTCTTAAAGTGTCCAGTGCTACCTGTTTTTTTTTCAACTTGCCAAACAGTTATAACTACAATATGATATGTTAAAACATATGACTTTTATTTTGGTAAATTTTCAGCTCTTCTCCGCCGTGCCACTACATATAAACATCAAAACAAGCTCCAGGAAGCTATAGAAGATTTGAGAAAAGTACTGGATGTTGAGCCTGATAATGATTTGGCTAAAGTAAGTGCAGGAAGTGATTTCTCACCTAATTCTATAATATGCTATTTCTGAATTTATTTTAAAATGGTATCAGKGGCTGGGGCTGTAACTCAGTGGTAGTGGGCTTGCCTAGACATGTGAGGCACTGGCTTCAATCCTTCATACCACATAAAAGTAAATAAATAAAAAATAAAAGCATTAAAAAATGGTATCAGTTTTGCTGAATAAATTATGTTGAGGATTAGGTCCCAGCTTTAAAAGAGATATCCCAGACATCCCAAAATGTTAACATCTTTTTTTTTTTTTTTTTGCTACTGAGGATTTAACCCAGGGGTACTTTACCACTGAGCTATATCCCCATCCTTTCATTTATTTATTTATTTATTTATTTTTGAGACAGAGGTTCACTAAGTTGCTGAGGGCCTTGCTAAGTTGCTGAGGATGGCCTCCAACTTTCAGTTCTCCTTTCTCAGCCTCCTGAGCCACTGGGATTACAAGAGTGCATCACCATGCCCAACTTGAAAACAGGTTCTTAAGAAAAAATTGTGTAAAGGTATAAGCCTACCTCTTAGCAGATGCAGGCAGTACTTTTCTCTGGGGTAATCTCAGTTTATCATGCAGCATCTGTATTAAGGCCTAAACGGTAGAGGTAAGTGTTAGGAACTGGGAAGGGTCTGAGATTTTACTCTACTTGTAAATTAACAAGGTAGCTCAGCAAAGGATACCAGATATCCTGGATCAGACAGAAAGGTCTACTCATGGTACACCATGCGGATGAGCTGCACATTCAGGTCAGGTCCCTTTGTTCCTGAGCCCCACAAGAATGATGTGGAGTGACCCAGATGGATGCTGCACTTCAGTGGGTGTGTGGGAAGATTGAGGAACTGAAAATAGGGGAAAGCTCATTTYTTTTTTTTTATGATGGGCTGTAAACAAACTGCCTGTCTTTGCTTCATAGAGAAATATTGTCTTCATTATATTGYAGAGTAAATAGACTTGCCCTGTCATTTTCAGGGAAATGCTATTTTTGTTTTACAAGCCTGCTCTCTGTACAAACATCCTTAAATATAATCCGGAACAAAGGTGATTTAGTGCTTCTGTYCGCAGTATGCCCAGAAATAGGATAAAATTGTGGAGAATTGCCTTTACACAATAAATTGTCCTTAAATTTCTATACACACCTATTGGATAACCTGTTGCACTCTCTCTATGTCCTTTGTATAATGGTTATAGTGATTAAATGTTAATTTAACAGTATTATAAAAGAAAAATTTGAAAAAGAAAAACCACCTATGATATTACTATCCAACATGATTTCATGTTTACATATTAACTTTAAGTCCTTATCCAAATGTATTTTTATCTTAACCACATGGAATTAACTCAAATGGACCATCTACCTTAATGTAAGACCTAAAATAAAAGTTCTAGAAGAAAACATAGGAGAAAATCTTTATGATGTTGGATCAGACAAGTATTCTTCAAGTGACATGAAAATCACAATCCATAAAAGAAAAAACTGATAAGTTGGATTTCATCAAAATTAATAATTTCTGCTCTTAGAAAGGCACTATTAGAAGAGCGAAAAAAAAGTTCAAAGCCAGCTTTAGCAACTTAGTGAGTACCTAAGCAACTTAGTGAGACCCTGTCTCAAAATAAAAAAATAAAAAGGGCTGGGGATGTGACTCAGTGGATGAATGCTCCTGGGTTCAATTCTTGTGTCAAAAAAAAAAAAAAAAAAGAGAAAGAGGGAGAAGAATAAGAAGAAAAAGATAAGCAACTTACATACTGGGAGAAAATATTTTTAAATCATATATTCGACAAAGGATTTGTATCAAAAATATGGAAAGAACTTTCAAAACTCAGTAATAAGAAAATAGGCAGCTAATTAAAAATAACCTCCTCCTCCCAATGATGGGCATCTCACCCAAGGCCTTTTGCTGGCTAGGCAAGCTCTCTACCACCCTGCTGTATYCCTGGCCCCAAGCAAAATATTTGATCTGACACCAACCAAAAGAGACACATAAATGAAAAATAAACACACGAAAAGATGCCCAATAACATCGGTCATCACTGAAATGTAAATTTAAAACCACAAGAGATAAAAAGAGTGAGATTGGATCTGGTTTCCCCCTATATTTAATCTGATATTTTTCTCTCACAGCCTTTAAAATTCTATCCTTATTCTGTATGTTAGGCATTTTCATTATAATGTACATTGGGTCTGTTGTAATTTTGTACATGTGGGATCCTATATTTGATTTTCTATTTCATTCTTTAGGTTTGGGAAATTTTCTGATATTATTTCATTGAAAAGATTGTGCATTCCTTTGGTTTTTATCTCTGTGCCTTTATCTATCTGAATAAATCTCAAATTTGGATTTTTCATATTATCAACAGTTCTTGAAAGTTCTATTCATAGTTTCTTAACATCTTCTCTCTGTGGTCAACTCTATTTTCAAGATTATGTATTTTATCTTCATTGCCTGAGGTTCTTCCAAGTGGTCTGGTCTGTTGGTGGTGCTTTCTTTTTTCTTTTTTCTTTTTTGGTACTGGGGATTGAACTCAGGAGCACTCAGCCACTGAGCCACATCTCCAGCCCTATTTTTGTATTTTATTTAGAGATAGGGTCTTACTGAGTTGCTAAGCGCCTCACTATTGCTGAGGCTGGCTTTGAACTCACAATCCTCTGTCTCAGCCTCCTAAGCCACTGGGATTATAGGTGTGTGCCACTGTGCCTGGCCTGTTGGTGGTGCTTTCTATTTATGTATTTATATTTGCAGTGCTGGGGATTGCACCCAGGGCTTCATGCATGCTAGTTAAACATTCTGCTACTGAGCTACACCCCCAGCGCTCTGCTAAATTTTTAATTTGATTTATTGTTTTTTTCATTTTGAGGATTTCTACTTGTTTTTTTTTACATTTATTTTTTYGTAGTTGTACACAATAACTTTATTTTATTTATTTATTTATTTTCATGTGGTGCTGAGGATGGAACCAAGAGCCTTGTAAGGCGAGTGCTCTACTGTTGAGCCATAACCCCAGCTCCGTTTTTTTTTTTTAAATAGATTTTCCACCTCTTTATTGAAGTGATCTTTCTCTTCTTGTATTTTCTCTCTGATTTCACTTCTTATTCCATCTTTTACTTTGCAGATTAGTTTAACTGTGTACATTGTAAACTCCTTTTCTGACATTTCTTCCACTGTGGTGTTAATGGATTCTTGGTTTGGGTGATTTTTTTCACTTGCTTTTTCATGTTGTTTGTGTGTCTACCCATTTAGCACTATGGAYCTGAGGCATCAGAGTTTCTACCCGCTGGACTTATAGTGTCCCTGAAGGTTTCCAGTATCTCACTGTTTAGGGGGAGACAATAATAACAACAGCCAATACAAACAATATATAGCATTTAACCAAATAGTTCCTACAGTGTTAATTATCACAATAAACAGAGATGATATGACCTGTTATTGCCTACAATAAAACCAGCAAGTTTGCAAATGGGGTTTATAATTTCAAATGGTGCCAGCAAGAGAACAGAAATGATATAGGATGTGTTGATTATGAGGGAGGAAGAAAGAAGAAGTAAAGAAATTAAAGGAAGAGTGAAAGAACAATAGAGATTGGCTGTTAGTGAAAGAAAAGAGGATCAAGGGAAACAGGTAGGATAAAAAATATACATAAAGTAAAAATTTTAAAAAACTAAAAATAAACGATTATGAAACAAAACCAAAATATACTAATTAAACATCCTAGTTCACAGAAAACTAATGCATGAAAAATAACTGGCTTCAAAAATGCTAGAAATGAGAGAAAAAATATGAATACATATAAATGTTCATGTACCATTAAGGTCACAATTAAACAGAATAATAATAATAATAATAATAATAATAATAATAATAAAGATCCCCATAAAAAGTTAAAGAATTCTTTCTGTTGGATTCAAAAGATTCTCAGTAGTTTTAGGTGGAGTCATCAGGAGTGTGATGCTCCACCCTCTGGATTGCTGGAGTGAGAGAGGGTAATCCCTTAGGTAGAATTCCTGGTGGCAGGGTTTAGGCTTAAGTGGGCTCTACACTCTTTGCTGAATGCTAATTGGTCTGAAGATTTTAAATCAGGGCACCTCCAGGGCCCAGTACTTGCTGGTCCACACTGAAAGACTATACCCCAGGGATCTTCCCTGGGTTTCACTCATGTGGTGGGGGAGCCAATTCTTAGTACCCTACATCACCTCTGGACCCCACATTTTCTGGACTCTGGTTCAGTCTCCAATCTCTTCTACCTCCTGCCTTTCTGAGTTCCCAGCCAGATGTCTCTCCCAGCTGGTCCTACAAGCAGCAGGATTGGAGGGGGAGAGGTTGAGCTGGGTGGGTTTCCATGACCAGTTGTCCCCTGGGTAAGGCTCTCTCCACATTTGATTTTCTCTTGGTCACTTAAGCACACTCTGTGTCATGCAGTGTATGTTTACTGGGCTTGTATTTTGAGCCAAACTTGGGTTTGCCAGGAATTGGCCCCCTTCAGCTGCCAGCCCCTTTGCATTGGCTGCAGAATGGTTCCTTCCTTTGTCCTCTGCACAGTGCTGGGAGAAATGGTGCCCAACCACCACCAGTGCAGCATGTCTTTCAGGTTTGCTGAGCAATGTCCTTGATTTCTAAATGCTCTGTATCCATACATGCCACGGACCTCCTAAAAATGCAGGTTACTTTAATTCCTTTATCCCTCTACTGTGCTCTTGGAGGGACCACTCTGTCTAGAGCTTCTGGCCCAGTCGTGGCCATGGCTATGTTGCTGGGGATGTCTTCCTTATTTTATTATATCCAACCTCCAGTGTCCCTGATCTGCTTTTTTGAATGGCCAGTTTTAAATTCCAGTAAAGTTCCCCGCTTTTTTTTTTTGTTGTTCATCAACCTTGTGGAAAGGCTGCCTATGTGCTTTCTTGGTTTCACTGGCATAAAGCATTTTAGAACGTCCAACGTTATTCATTAAAAAAAGCACATGTACACAGTAAGAGACTAATAGCAATAATTAAGAATAAAATATGACAGTACAGCAATATGCTATATATGCAAATGTCCTCTCTCTCTCTCTCTCTTTCTCTCTTTCTTCCTTTCTCTCTCTCTAGTTGAATGGAACTTCAGTTAACTGAAACAGCAGACATCAAAATGCTGGATAAGAAGGTTTTGTGATTGTTAGAAACTATGAACAGGAGATAAATAAATTGTATGTAATTTTTACTAGACAAAAAAATTTAAAAAACACATATAGCATGATTTTATTTGTGCAGAACTATACATTTTTGTGTCTGTATGCCTAGAAACATCTGAGGAGATTATAAAAAATGTCAGTGGTATTACTTGAGTGGCAGGATTTCAGGTGATTTTTTTTCTTCCTTTTTTATACTGTGACTCTAAGCTTTTTACAGTATATATAGTTATAATCAGATGAAGCAATGAAGTAGTTTTGAAAAAAAAACATAAAAAGCCTTGTGTTTTTATTCATTTCTTAATATTTTCTTTTTCTTATCTGAAAGAATGGTGGTTTTTTATTAAAGGAAAATTTTGTCATTAATATTGTGATTTGCAGAAAACCTTATCAGAAGTCGAAAGAGATGTGAAAAATTCTGAACCTGCATCTAAGACCCAAWCTAAAGGGAAAAGGATGGTTATTGAAGAAGTAGAAAACTCAGAAGATGAAGATGAAAAGGGAAGTGGAAGAAAACCTGAAGATGGCAGTGGAGATAAGAGTAAAATGYCTTCTCTATTTTGGTTATGCAGAAAACTACCTGCTTATATAATGAGCTAGCTCAGTTTTTCTGTTTGTACAGAAATTTTAAGTCTGCCAGACTTTTTCTGGCTTTACCATGCAAATCTACAAGCAAATTTAGCTTATCTTTTTCTTGATACAGTTTAGTATAATCTTCTSTATGCTTTTTTCCTCTTAGTCTGGCACTTTTTTCCTAGTGCTCAATTTAATTCCTAATTATCACCTTTTAATGTAAATGGCTGTGTCTATATGATAATACTCATTTGCAAATTGACCTTAAATCTGTCTCTTAGGTGATTGTGTGTAATCCACTGGGTTGCAAACAAATGTATTGGCTTCAAGTAAGGACTTGGGTGGACTTGTTTATATACCTAAAATGAATACATTTTTGGGAAATTCTTCTGTGTCTCTCAAAAAATTTAAATATGCAAAACAAATGTTTCAAAAAATGAATATAGACTATATAAAATTTCATGGTTATAAGATAAAACAATGAAAGTTAGATCAATGTCAAGGGAAAAGATTTGTGTAGTTGCATGTATCATTGGTTCATTCCTCTTTTTTTTTTTTTTAGTTAATATTCCTTAATTTTTTATTCCTGGTACCACACCACAATATAGGGAAGTATATTTGATATAAGGAAAAAAAAAGAAAAAGACTATGATTCAACAGTTAAAAGACCTCAGGAATGTACATCTGATTGACACTGTATTAACCAGTAACTACATTGCATTAACCAGTAGCTACACTTTTTGCAAATTGTGGCTATGACATCACAAGAAGGGTTTCCTGTTTAAGCTGCAATAACTCTGACAGTGGATCATCATTTCTTCTGTGGCAGGTTTTTGCAGTTATTCTAATGCTTTTGTGATGATTGTCTCAAAGTAACCTGTAGCTTTTCTGACAACTCCTCATTCTCTCTCTTACTAAGAACTATAGCCTTTTTATACTGTTTTAAAAACCTTCTTCCACATTCCACCACSGTCTCCACCAGATCCACATCCACCAACACAGGGACTACCAGAGCTGCTCTTATCAAAACTGCCTACTTCATGAGTTTATAATTTGATTTCTGTTGTTCACTGTAATTTCCAAAATTATTATAGTTCCAACCACCACAGTGGTTAGTAATACCAAAATTTTCTCCTTCATGTTACATGACAATGAGGCATTGTAACCATATGACTTCCTTCACTACCACCATATCCACCAACTTGGTTTCCATATCCTAGTCTGCCACCACCACTTCTCTACTATACCCAGAACTGCTACCGTAATTGTCATCATTACCTCCAAATCCACCTCAACCACCATAGCCTCCTTTTCCGATAGTTTCCACCATGGCCAAAACTACTTTTGCCACCTCCAAAGTTTCCTTCATCATTCATAAAGTTGCCAAATCTACTCCAAGTTGCTGTATCTATGTCTTCAACACACAAGTCACAAGACCTTGGAACATTTACCATTATCAAATAACTTGTGAGTGTGCCCATTTCTCAATATGTTCTCTTTAACTACCATCTGTAGTTTCAGACTTCAGACCACCAATAACCAGCTTCCTCAATTGTTGTGGTTCCCTTGGATCATGCTCCCCACAGTAAGCCCACAGAGGCAGTGATGGTCAGAGTTCACTTCMCTCCTCTTTATTGCTGAGCAACATTCCACCATATGGGTGTACCAAATTTGTTTATCCAGTTTGTTCAAGGATATTTAGGCTGTTTCTGGTATTTGATAATTACGATTATAGCTGCTATAAACTTTCATGTGCAAGTTTTTGCATGAAGGGTAAATGTCTAAGTAGGCTTGCCAGCTCATATGGCAAGTGTATCTATAACTTTATCAGAAATTGCCAGACTCTTTTCCAGAGTAACTGTACCATTTTTTCATTGCTATATGAGAGTTTACGTCACATTCTCATCAATATTTGGTAAGACCAGGTTTTGTTAATCCATTCTATTAAGTATATAGTGGCTTCTCATTATGTTTTTTTTTTTTTTCTTGGTACTGGGGATTGAACTCGGGGGCACTTGACCACTGAGCCACATCCCCAGCCCTATTTTGTATTTTATTTAGAAACAGGGTCACACTGAGTTGCTTCAAAGCTAAGGCGGCTTTGAACCTGAGATCCTCCTGTCCCAGCCTCCCGAGCCGCTGGGATTACAGGCATGTGCCACCATGCCTGGCTCATTATGGTTTTAATTTGCACTTTTCCTAATGGCAAAGGATGTTGAACATCTTTTCATGTGCTCATTTGTCATCTCTATATCATTTTTAGCAAAAGGTCAGTTTAAATCATTTCACTAATTTTTTTAAAGTGGGTTGTTTTCTTACTGTTGGGTTTTTGTTGTTATTGTTGTTGTTGCTGCTGCTGTTGTTATTTGGTACCAGGGATGGAACTTAGAGGTACTCCACCACTGAAACACATCCCCAGCCCTATTTTGTATTCTATTTAGAGACAGGGTCTCACTGAATTGCTTAGGGTCTCACAGTTGCTCAAGCTGGTTTTGAACTTGCGATTATCCGCCTCCCAAGCTGCTGGGATTACAGGTGTGTGCCATCCCGCCCGGCCTTACTGTTAAGTTTTGAGAAATCTTTTTATATATTTGATGTCTTGTTGCAATMCTTTGTTAGCTATTAGAGTTGCAAATATTTTCCCTGTCTCTAGCTTTTTAAATTTCTTTAAACATTGTTTTCACAGAGCAAAATTTTTAGTTTTGTTGGAGTCAAATTTACACATTTTTTATTTTTCTGTTTTTTTATTTTTTTGGTACCAGGGATTGAACTCAGGGGCACTCGACCACTGAGCCATATCCCCAGCCCTATTTTTTATTTTATTTAGAGACAAGTTCTCACTGAGTTGCCTAACAYCTTGCTCTTGCTGAGGCTGGCTTTGAATTTGGTATCCTCCTGCCTCAGTCCTCAGACACTGGGATTACAGGCTTGCCTGGCAAATTTACACACTTTTTAAAAATGAACTGTGCTTTTGATCTAAGGACACTTTGCCTAACTCAAAGTCATGAAGAATTTTCTCCTGTGTTGTTTCCTTTTCAAAATTTATATTTTGCAAACATATTTATCAATTATGGGTTGATTTTTATATGGAATGTGAGAATTAGATTGAGTTTCAATTTTTTTTTGCATATTGATGGCTAGTTATTTATTGGAAACTATCCTTACTTCTTTGAATTGCCCTTGCACCTGGCAACGTTGGCAGATTTATACATTTCAACTTTTGGGAGTTATTATACATAGTATTTTTTGAATTTTACAAAATTAAAAATTCATATGTTCATTTTAGCCTATAGAAAAAAATCAATTGGYGGGGCTGAGGCTGTAGCTCAGTGGTAAAGTGCTTGCCTCGAATGTGTGAGGCACTGAGTTCAATCCTCAGCACCACATAAAAATAAATAAAGGTACTTTGTGTTCATCTACAACTAAATAAATATAAAAAAAATCAATTGGCCATGTTTGTGTGGCCAGTAGAATCTAATTTTGGCTGCCATTCTGTTGCATTGACTTAAGTGTCAATCCTCTCATCAGTATCACTCTGTCTTGATTCAGTCTGCAAGTCAAAATTTTTGGAGATTTATTTTTTTCATGGTCTACAATTCTTTCATTTAATATTCAGTTATATTTCTTTTTTCAGTTATATTCATTTATTGTATAAAATTACTGAGCAATCAATTAACAATAAGATCACCTAACATTTGATGACTGTTTTACCACAAGTCTTTATTATACTACTAAAATGTACTTTCTATATGCTCATTGCAAAATAGGAGTGATTTTCTCTTGTCCATCATTGTAATAAATAGTAGAGTATAATAAAAGGATGGCAAATATGAAGCAGTAAAATCTGTTTCTCTAGATATAAAAAAAATCATACTGAGAATTTGATTGGATATTGAATTTATAGATAGATCAATTTGGGGGAGAAATGACATTACAATCATATGGAATTTTCTAATCCATGAACATAATTTGTCTTTCTATTTGTTTAGATCTTCTTTGATTTCTTTCATTAGCATTGTGTGGTTTTCCACAACATTGGCAGATTTATACATTTCAACTTTTGGGAGTTATTATACATAGTATTTTTAAATTTTACAAAATTAAAAATTCATGTGTTCATTTTAGCCTATAGAAATGTGATTTATTTATTTTTGTACATTGACTTTGTATTGTGCAATCTTGCTAATTCACACATTCAAGGATCCTTGGAATTTTCTTCATGGACAAATATGTTGTCTGCAAATAAGGACAGTTTTATTTTTTATTACAATTTGTACATCTCTTTTTCCCTCTTATTGTACTGGCTAAAAAGTAAAATGCTGAACAAATGGTGAATCTTAGAAGGCATGCATTTGGTCTTTGATAATCAGACTTAATATTACCTTTTGGTATCTAATCGATGCCCTTTGTCAATTTAAGGAAATGGCTTTCTAGTTATAGTTAGTTGAGCTTTTATTTTTAACTGATGTTGAATTATTTCAAATGCTTTTCTGCATCACTAGATTTGATCATATAAATTTTCTTCTGTAGTAAGTTACTGTATTAGGTTACATTCTTTGACTGAGGTTTGAATGTTGAGCAGGACTTGAATTTTGAGATAAATCAATTGATCATCATATATTATTATTTTTATYCATTGGTGGATTTTATTCATTAATATGTTTTTGAAGATTTTTTGCATCTATTTTCATAAGAGACATTCTAGCCTTGAGAGATTGATTATAGCCTTCTTTTTATCTTTCTTTGATTTTCATTCATTCACTCATAACTGTACTTTTCTGGATTTTGGTTTATCAGGGCACTGCTAGCCTCATAAAATGAGGCTCTGAAAGAGATTGTGCAGAATTGATGTTATTTCTTCTTTAAACGTTTGATCCAACTTGTCACTGGAACTATTTGGCCCTGGAGGTGGGGGCAGGTAGAGGTAGGTGTGTGTGGGGAGTGTGTATGTRTATGATTCTAAATTAA